ATTTGTATATGCACAGTTTTGCATCTGCTGATGAAACACACTTTCGTCCCTCTTTTCGAGGCCAAAAGATTAATTCCTGAAGTCTGTTCTTACCTGTTTCTTCATGGCTTTCCGTTGTCTATTTTCTAATATATATTTATTTAGGAAGGCTAATTTGTTGCTACACTGTGGAAATATTTGTGTTAAATCTACTCTATAAAGGCCCTAAAAACATGAAAAAATGCTCTGAAAGCAGAAGCAGGAGGAAGGAAAGGAGGTGCTGCAGGAAAACTCATTTGCTGAAAAATGCAGCTTATGTCTTATCAATTTAATTCCAGATAAGTCTTCATTTTGCTGTGAAGACAGATGCGATAAATATGTTAATGGCAGATTTCGATAGTTCAGTTTGTAGAACTGCAAAGCCAGATGGAAATGATAATTTTTTCTTTCATTTTAATTTTGAAATAAAAAGCAAGAAAGCAAGAAAGTTCCTGATACCGTAACACTGTAATGACTTTTTGAAGGATAATGGACCTTAGCACAGAATGACAATTAACTACCATGCCCTGATACTTACTATTAAATTCCAGTTTCCCTGGCTGGAATTCCCTCAGTTTTATTGCCAGAGCTGAGCAGATTACTGCCCGTGACTGACTTTTCCAGTTCCACATTCATAAAGGTATTTAGCAGCAATCCTAGCTTGAAGCTGGTATTTTACTGATTCTACCGTTGCTCAGGCTAGAGACATGCCTAAGCAGAACTCTGAAAACAGCATTGCATAGAGCTAACCTCTCTCACTGTTTATCAGGAGCCAGATACTGCCTGGTTTAAATCCTTAAGCAGTGCAGTTAGTGTCCTCAGGAACTAAATTGTAGCCTTCCATGCCTTGATTACCATTCCCCCAGAATCAGCTGGGGTGAATTCACTTAGCAGTATTTGGCATGGGGTAGTCTTAGATGGTTTCAATTTAAAACAAAGCCATTGAGGGACATACAGCAACCTTAAATTTGTAGGATATTTACAGCTTGAACTGACAGGCAAAAAGAAAGCTGGAAAATTTCTGCCACTTAACTCCCCTTGTAAGGTAGCACGTAAAAAGCCTAAGGAAATTTTTAGAAACAATTCTCAAGTCTCTTTTGTTCAGGGTCCCACTTGAAAGCTTATTCTAGAGTTCCTAAGTGAAAACTTGGTTTGTTATATTCACTGTGGTGAGACTAACTGTGGAAAGAACAGGCACATCTGTCTTGTTCTTTCTAAATTAATTATTATTTCAAGAAGGTGAGGTCCTGACTGGTTTCTCCCATGGGAACTTCTCTCCAGGAACAACTTGGCAAGAGAGAGATGATCCATTCTCAGATCAGTAGAGTTTATTAGGTCATTCTTGCTTTCCAGCTAAGCTCACAAATCAGAAATGGTGTGGCTTAAACTATTTAATTCAACATGGCATTTAGAGCCCCATGAAGACTTTATTCCAATTATTCCAGTGAGGAAAATGTGGATTCCTTGTGAGTGACTGCTTGTATCTTACATTTTACCATTAGACAAAGAGTACAATAATTGTTTTCTCTGTCCTCAGCTGGGGATGCTTGTGGGTAGAGGTCATATTGATATAGATATCTGCTATCTGATAATGATATTAGATAGTGTTGTGGACAGATAGCTATCTGATATGTGAAATATCAGATTAATTTAATTATTCAATACACGCTATTTTGTTTCATTTGTTTAGTTTGCATATATTTTCTCGGGGTTTGTCTTGTTTGGTAAATAGTACAAAACTGCAAACATATGTGGTCTGGATGTTTCCTATCCAAATGAAATGATCAGATAAGAGGAAGAAAGTCTGTACTGTACTGTGGAGGGGAGAGGAGAGATCCCCGGGGTCTGGAAGTGAAAGCTGCGTCAGCAGGAGCCAAGCCAACTTAATTAGCCCTGTGAAGAGACTGGGCAGAGTGCTTGGTTAATGGAGCTATATTGTTTGAGAATTCATCTGTTGTCTCTGGACTTTGCTAAACTGTGCAAACATCTATGTGTCTGCAGCATTGTACCTTGCACCCAAGCAGAGGCAGTTCTTGCACTCTTCTCAGATTCCAGTCCATGCTGGCTGTTAATCTCATACAATTCAGTGATTAATATTGCCAAAAGTACACAGTGAAACATACGGTACTACTCCTGGCCCTAGTGTTGCCTTACCAATGTCAGAGAACAGCAGGCAGAGACAGCTGGAGCCCCTCTGCCCTCACAGCTTTGCTGTGAGCTAAGAGGTGATCAAAGCACTAGCTATAGCTAGAGGTGATCCACTCTTGCAGAGCATCCTCAGGTATTGGCATAAGACAGCCGGATCTTAGTCCTCTGTGGACTCATGCAGCAGCAGCATTTAATCCTGGAGCACCAAGTCAAACAGAGCTTCCCAGCTGGTGGGCAAAAAAGCCATTCACCATCCTCCAGCAAGCAGCCAGAGCTCCCTAAGCACCATGCAAGGAACTGCCGCAGAAGGAGCATGACAATTCGTGCAGCGCTATAGCTCAGTTCAGCCTGACATCTTGTGAGGTTGAAGTTCAGCTCATTAGGACATTCATCTGTTATTTATGCAAATAAGTCTATGCATAGTCACAAAATATGCAAAGAATGCCAGTTTATCAGTTTGGCACAATTTCCAACTTTCTGAACCCCCAGACATCCCTGATACTCGTAGAAGAAAATGCAGTCTCCCCTATCACTACCAATGGCAGAGAAGCCGAGGCAAAGCTTATGCACTACCATCCATGTCCTCTCAGAAGATTCATGGTGCTAGGGATAGAAAAGATAATGCATTCTGTGTGACTTTAAAACCTATTACGTTACAGCTCAGAATGTTTGATCTTATGAATAAGGGATCTCTACTTGTTTCACCTTTCCAGGGAAGGAGATTCACAAATCTGCATAACTCTAGGCATTCTAAAGGCAGTTTATATTTATTTATACTGAGCACATGACCAAAAAAAAAAAAAAAAAAAAAAAGTGTTCTGGACCAGTTTCTTTAAATGTGCTGCTTTGTCTGGACAGCTGCAGTCTGAGGTTGCTTTCACTCATGAATGTGCAAAAGAACCCAAGCTTACACCTCTCTCGCCCTTATTGCTCTGTCCTCACTTCAGGAAAATACTATCTTCTGCATGAATCTAAACTAGAGTCAGCATCTACCTGTTGTTCTCCAGACACAGCCATCAGTAACTGCAGGAGGTCTGAGTCCTCCTGAGAATGATACAGGTCTACCAGAACCACAGCTTCTGGGAATTCTTCTCCAGTTCTGTACTCTAGGCCAACACCAGGCTGATGGCCTGTCTGTTAGCTCAAGAGACCAGTTTCTTGTGCATCCTCCCTAGCCTATCAGGATGACTTATTTAAACTGCTACAAGGTTCACTGTATAAATTAGCAGAAAAGAAGTTTCTGTAATGCAAGTAAAGACAGAAGAAAATGATGCAGCTTTTTATTGTATTACCATATCTGAGGGACCCACCTTACACATTCACTTCTCCTATGGTCTGTTGTAACCATCACCCAGAAGATGTGGAGCTGCAGACTTGCATGTGGACTTGGGGTTGGCACTGAGGGAAGAAACACCTCCAGACTTAACAAAGGCTGCCCCTCCAGGGTCACTACAACTGGACCTTAGTTTGACAGCAACACAAAAACTGACTTTCCTCAAACCCCCAAAAATAGAACTCCATAAGTTACATTGCATTTAAAGTGCAACACAATCACAATGCAGAGGCCTGAAAGTATTTCCAGTGTTTTTAATTCTTCCCCTGTAGGGAATTTGTATTTGCACATGAGAACAACTGCATAAATTAAATACCTCCTGGACAGTCCCTCTTATTAAAGTCCATCAAGGTGTTTTCCCTTGATTCTTTCAATTTACACAAGAAAATTGCGGTGACTTGACCCCAGCCAGGAGCCAAGCACCCACCCAGGTGCTCACTTACCCCTGACATCAGGATTATGATCTCATCAGGAGAGAGAATAATAAGAGCAAAACAAGAAAACTTGCGGGTTGAGATAAAAACAGTTTAATAAATGAAGGAAAGAGGAAAAAAACCCCAGTGATACAGAGGCAGCCAGTGACCACCTACCACAAGCAGACTGATGTCCAACCAGTCTCTGAGCTCTCTATGGCAACCTTCCCAGACCAACCACTCCCTCAGTTTTTCTTGCTGAGCGCAGCAATAAATGGAATATCCCTTTGGTCATTTGGGGTCAGCTGTGCCATCTGTTTGCCTTCACAGCCTCTTGCCCACCCCCAGCCTACTTGCTGGGGATGGGCAGCCTCGGCAAAAGAGAAGGCCTTGATACTGTGGGTGCACTGCTATGCAATAGCCAAAACACTGGTGTTATCAATGTTGTTTTGTCACAAATACAAAGCACAATATATTACAGGCTGCTGTGAAGAAAATTAACTCCATCTCAGCCAGACCCAACATAAAAAGTAATGAACAAATGATGCCTTGGGTTAACCATGAAGAAAATTGTCCCAGAAAGGGCACTTCTCAACTTCAAGTCCTATTCTAAAACATCTGCCCTTTTTATTCCAAATCTATTTGCCACTTGGGTAACCACAAAACCATTCAGTCAAAAATATCTGTACAACCTGACTTTCTGTGAATTTAATTCTGCTGGTTCCAGCTGAGCAAAATTATCTTTATATCATGAAAACATATGCTTTCCCTTAATAAAGTTTTCAATAAAACCACTTCAAGTCTCTCCCTTCATTTTGTCATTGGCACAGTAAAGGATTATCCATGCAAAATTATCTGGCCAAGCTTTCTGCTGTGAGCCGGTATGGTTCTGTTGCTTTTCACAGAACAATTAACACACACTGAAGATTTTAGCCATTGTTGGCTATAATGGCCAATTTGCCTATTACAGGGAACTGAGAATCATCTGTATACAAGCCATTGTCATACACCAGTGAAATGGAGACTGTAAACCAACAGAACATGACCTGTGATTTTAAGAGATTCAAAGACAAGGTGTGATACCTTACCTTTGGAGCTTGTAGTACATCAGAAACACCGTGCTTAGGTACTGCAAAACCAGGTTTTGGTGCAAGCATTGTTGGCTTCTTGGGAGGCCTGGGTGGTGAACGAAGGGTTTGGTTTTCGTATCTTCGCACCATATAGTATTGCTCTTCACTGATCTCTTCCACTTTTGTCTTAGTCACAGGGGGCACAGCTGTCTGGACATCTTTGCTGAGCAAATGGACACACATGTTTAAGCGATATACAGGAATCTCCCAGCTCTCCACTGGACTACTGGCACTACTGATCAGCAAATAAGAGTCTGTGATTTCTTCTTCAAACTGCAGACCAGGCACGGCAGCCACGACATCTTGCTCAATAGAAAGGTCCCTCACAGACACTTTGACGTTAAAAGGCAAACGAAATTCTTTGCAAATCTCAGAAAGCTGGTACTGTTTCTTGTCATGAATCACTTCCACAAATCTACCTTCCATGTACATAGGGAGGAGAACTTTCTTATATGTGTCACCTAGTATTTGTTCACAAGCTAAAAAGTCTATGAGTTTCTTTCTTCCCTTATACAGAACTTCACTAGTCTGGCATTGCTGAACTAGAAATTGATCTCCAACTGAAACAGAGAAAAGCTCTTTATGAGGGGAATCAAAGGCTTTAGTTGCTACAACATGAAGTTGTTCCTTTTCACTTCTTGCTATCTCTAAGTCATAGGCAGTTGGAAACTCCCGAGGTCTTCTTTTGAACTTTCCTTTGTAGCTCATAGGGATTAAAAAATATCTTTTGGGTGAATCACTTCTGATCTCTGAGGCTAGGACTCTTGTTGCCTGGTACTTTTTGTAGATAATGATCTCATTCCCTGTATCCAAAAATTTAAAAGATTTTTGGCTTTCTGAAGGCCCTTCCATTATCTGAGCAACCACAGGAAATTCCTTGCTTGTTCTCTCAAATACATCTTCCAAAGACAGTGGCTGAAGGAAAGAGCTAACATCATAACAGTCTGTTATATCCTTGACCTCGACATCTAGATCTGAGAGGATACGAACTATGTCCTTTCGAACTGAAAAGAAAAAGACATTGATTTTTGTTTTCAAACTGACATTAGAATAAAATACTCACGTCCTATTGGCCAGATACTAGAAGTACCCTCCCTGAGGTGTGCACCTCCATATGTAAACATGCACAATTAACAGGGCTAGTCAAAGTCTGTTTTAATTTGAGATACATGGCTGTTTGTTAGACATTCAGAAGACCTCATAAAGGAAGACAGAAACAAGAGGAGATGAGAATATGGTGTGCAAGTGAATAAAAGTTGAAGAAAAAGGAAAGGGAAAAAAAATCAGTTCACTATCTTTCTCACAGCACCTCCAAGTTTAATCAGCTGTTTATCTTATCAAACTATTTTCCTTGAGTACAAGATGTACTTCTATTATTTCATAGTAACTTATGGTTCCTCCAGAGAAATGGGTGGGGGAACATTTGCAATAAATAAATAGCATTTGAACCCATTAACACATGTTGTTGCTGTGGCCAGTCTAGGAAAAATATGATATTTTGATATTTATAAGAAAAACATCTATAATTACTAGAAAATAATATCACTTCTTTAAAAAAGGCAAAACTTTTATAGAACAAAGTCTAATCTTATTGTAGTGAATAAATAAATTTCTACTATGCTCTTCTGTGGAATTCTTGCTTTTTTTTCTGCAGAATCTAGTTTTATTCACTATCAGAATCAAGTCATTGCATTTAACAGTCTGACAGGGAACAACAACTCTTTTTATCACCATTAAACTTGCAAAATTTTGGATGTAAAAATTCCAAGTACAAAGCTGACTATGCAATTAAGGTTTGTTTGAGAACTCCAGATCACTGACACTTCAGAGTGCTGACCAGGGCACTAAAATTTAATAAGCAAATAATATTTAATGACTCTCTTCATTAAGACTTATTCTGCATAGCCCTGCACAGAAGGTTAGTATAACCCAGAGTCACACTTTCATGTAGCAGGACATACTGATATCTTATTCTTAAAAGTTGGTATCGGATCTATTTTGTATGAATGACAGAGTTTTATGACAGTGATTCAGGATCTGGTTATTCCAACCGTACTTTTGTCATATTGACAACTTCAGGTGACAAACATCCTAAGCACCACAAAGGAAAGCCAATGAAGGAGGAATGACTGGTGAAATTGAAAGTTTTCTATGAGTGTTTGTGGGAGTTCCACACACCTAATTTGTTCGTTATAAAAAATGAAAAGGGTAAAGGATATGATATCTGCCCACAGCCTGTGAAAATGTAATCTGCTATCCATCCCCTTCATCCTTTCATCAGGAGGCTTTTTTATTGAACTCTGGATAGTATTTCTCATACTTCATCTTGTGCCTATTTACAGTTCTTCTAAAAATGGTGAAAACCCATTTTTCATGGTCCACAGGAAATCATGTACCATGAATCCTACCCTTCAGGTTTGTATTAAATAATTATTTAGGACATATTTAATGCTTCTTAAATGTTGAGCACACTATGAAGCATAAAATAAAATCAACAAATACAACTCTTACTGGAATATCTGATTGAAAGACAGCTGAATCTTCAGAAAGCCTTTTAGGAACACTAAATTCTTATTGATTCTGCACATATGTTTAAGCTGGTATAGGAATACACCTAAGTGAATCTAGCTTCAGGAGATGGGATAGATTCTCGAATCTAGCTAGAGTTGCAGAAAATGAAGTATTTTATCTCATGAAGATATACTACCCAGACTCACACATTAAATCATGTAGAAAGCACAACTGAATGTCTCGTGATAAGCATTTAGCATGATAGTATATTGTGCTTACAGTCTCTGCCCACTTTTATTTCTCTTTTATCTATCTACTTACATCACTCATCAGAGAAAGCTCAACTGTGAAAAGATTTCCTGCTTAATATCCTCATGAACGACATATTTCTGTTAGGATTTAATTTGTATGGAACAGACTGGTTTGTTTCTAGTAAATGCAACTGGCAGAAAAACCTGCCCAAAAACTAAGCTCTTACCCTGCATACTTTGAAAGGATGGGTGCCTCAAGAAGTAGAATTGCAGCAGCCCAGGTGTAGTTGGAAACCAGACATTTTAGCTTAAGTCGTTCTTTCGCTTAGTTAGGTATCTCAGTTTAGGGAGGGTACACCATGCACGCACACATGGGTCATTACTGCAGCTTGGCTATTCAAGCAACCATAGCTCAGGAGCATTTTGCTCTATGCTTATACCCTTGTACACCTTTTAATTTTATTCCCATTACAAGTTTCGCTAACAGGTTTAAAGTAAGACATTAAGAACAGAACCCAGCAGTTACTGTGCTTTGATGGAACAACTAGAACAGTGTTAATGTGCCATGGACAAAATACACATTTTTTTTCCCTAATAAAAATTCATAACGTAAATGATAACTTTTAAAGATACTGATTTCTATTACCTTCCTGTTTCCTCAATCCTAGAGGTTTCTGACATTGTCTGTGAGTCGTTTCTGTTTGTATTTTATTGATATTTGCTTCTGCAATAGAGTAAAATAATATGGTTTTTCTTTCTGCATCAGCCTCAGCCTAAAAAATAAACAGTAATTGAGTTTATTACAGCATGTAGGTCTATATTCTTTTCCTGCCTTCTAGCCACAGCCATAAATGATCAAGAGGCTGCTCCATGGCTGAAGTCTGAGACATAAAGAAAAAGAATCTGAGAACTTAATAGAATTCCTAAGCTCCACCTTTTCATTATGAAATATATTTTATTTGAAATGATGATTTAATTGTAGTGATCAATAAAACTGCAACAGAAAGAAATGTGAGGTAACTTTCTGAATTAACAGCTGATAAAGGAATAAAAAAGGCAATATTATTTTTATATTTTTTCATCTTGAAACTAGCCTCAGTGGCAAATATGGATCACTAATTCTTGACCAAACTGAATCCTTCCTGACTATTTTAAACAAATTTTGTGTCCTTTGCTGTACTGAGTTTATCAGAACATTGACTTTGATTCCTACTTACATTTCATTACTGCCTGCACTTCGTAGACAGGCGTGAGAATCAAGCAGCCATCAAAATTCTCAGGAAGTGGATTAGAGGAGTCCCACTTATGTAAAGTATTGGAAAGTTTGACAATCCGGTTTCTGCACTTAGGGATTTTCCATTCTGCAATCTCTTTCAGGGTGTATATCTGGTCATCTTCACACTCATAGAATTTTCCTTCTTGTGAAAGGGGCAAAGTAAAGGAATGAGACTGGTTATTTCTGAGCACAACACAGTTCACAACCATTGTTCCACTGACGTCTTCCACTGAGTTGAAGGTGATGTGCTCACCACGTTTGATAGTGAGGTTTGCCAACTTTATATCCTCGGGGCTGTAGAAACATGGATGGCCAAATCTTGTTGGCCCAATAGAGACTTTTCTTGTAATTTCTTCAATGCTGACATATGGAGTTTTATCTGCCACAACCTTATAAAGACCTAAGAACAGAAAACTTGCATTACAAAAGGTGAAAGATAGATATAAAGCAAGCCTTGACAAATTTTACTCTATGAATGCAATAAAAAGGAGGAGCAAAGCACATCAAACAATTTGATTGCTAGAACTGTGACTCTAAAAAGATATCAACTACATGATACAATGTATAGGCAGCTGGAACTAGCCCTTTCTACTCTGCATCTGACATCCAACATTTTTACCTCTATTATAAAAATTTTTATTTGCCACAGAAAAAAGAAAAATTATCTTAGATTCTCATTTGTCTTCTCAGGAAACCAACCTTTAAGAAATAAATGCAGATACACTTGGAGGAACAGTAGCACTAATGGGAAATGCAGGATAAGTTTTCTGCCTGAACATCAGTCCTACATATTCTTCTACATACAGATGGGGGAGTCCTAGACCAAAGATGTCTAAAGATATATCACAAATTAAAAAGTAGCACCTATGGATAAGAATAGGCAAAGAAAAAAATTGGTTTTAGCCTATATGATAGCCCAGACCACCAGATGGAATAATTCAGAATTTGGGTGTTGTAATATTCTGGCCATCAAAAAGCAATTAAAATGCTGAAGTTCTGCAAGGCAGAAGCTGCATCAGAGCTTCCCTAACCCCTAGGGACACTATTATTTCATGTTAATCACGCCCCTTGAAGCTGTCTCATTGGGAGTTCACATCAGAAGAAAAATGTGTACATTTCTATATTTGCGTGAGTGTTTTCATAAAGGAAGATGGAGTGGATGGTTTAGAGGACTTAACACCAGGGTTTAGCTGAACTGTGTGATTCAGCTGCCTTCTTCCCAAGGCACAGCAGCATGAATGCTGCCTCATGGAATTACATTGCAGCTTCCTGGAACAGGCATTGACTAAGGCTTGCTTCCAAGTGACTATAATTGTACATAGAGGTTATTCCTAGGCCAAGTTTGCTAGTCACAAATTAACCAGTAGCTACAGCTACAGTGACAAAGAAGCTACAGTGCCTTTCCTCCTTCGTTTCCCCAAACCCAACCAGCATTAGCTGCACAAGTACAAAGTACAACTTCAAAACACTTTTTTTCTCACTGGTATTTTTGATGTTGCTCACAGTCATTTTTAATGCAATTATTAATAAACAAGTTAGCTACCCCAGTCCTAATCACCACCAGAGATGTCAATGCAGATGAAGACAAACTGGTTCATCAGCATTTAGAAGATATTGCAGTGACATGGCACCAACGACAAACTGAAATTGCGGAAAAGACAGCATCCCTCAAACAGTGCTCCAGTGTCATGCTTTGCAAACACAAGATGGGCATCATCTCCTGGCAGTGCTGGGAGAAAGCAAATAGGCATATTCTTCATTAAAAAATGTATTCAAAGTACATATGATGTATCCCAAAGGCAATAACCATGTTTATCCATCTGTGATACAGGAGCATGCATATTGCCCCAAGAAAACCTCCAGAACTGCATTAAAAAGCTTCCATAAGCTATGTTAAAAAATTATTCCCTGTTGAAAATATTTGGCAATGTACAGGTATGAGAAACATTATTCTTCTCTCCGAGTCTGACAGTAGACTCAGGCTCAACTAATTTTGCTGGGACTACTGAGCTGTATGAAAGCCAGCTATTTCAGCAACAAACCAATGGGCATCCTGGGTTGGAAAGCAGGTTTCATACAGAAGCAAAATTACCAGATCTCGTACAAAACTAGACAACTGATTATCCCCTCAGGCTGAGGCAGACTGACTTTGCAAGGGTTGGGAGCAGGAAAATCATCACCTTCCGTTTTGCTGGTTTTCTTAATTTGGGTAGCAGAATGCTTGCATAGACAACTAAACAGCCATGTGGCCAAATATACTTAGCTTCTGCATTGATGAGAAGTAGAAGCACCTTGAAGTAGAAGCACCTAATAGCCACCTGTTTATGAGTATGTAAAGTTCCATGTTTCTCTCTCTATAGAAAAGAGGTGAATATATAAAAATTCATTTTGGTATGATGGATGAAAGTCACTTGGTTCCTGTCTAACTGCCATAATCTCCCATGGTATCTTCTCCTAAATGCTCTCCTCAATAAATATATATATATTTAAAAAACCCAAATAACAACAACTACAAAAAAATAAAAAAAACCCCCAAACACACAAAACACCAACCAAAGAACCAAACCCCCTCACACACACACACACTCAAAAAAACCCAAAACACAAAAACCCCACAAACACAAACCCACAAAAACCAAACAAAATTACACTATAGGGAAACATTCAGAACCTTATTAAAATCATTATGAATCAAACTACAAAACCAAATGTTTTCCAAACCTAAGATAGCAAGAAAATCTCCAAAGTAGGAGACATATGGTAAGTTTGAGATGCTGAAGTTTGGACATTTTGAGGTCAAACAAAAATATTTGTGTATTTTTTCATAAATCATAAAATGACTTCAGCAAATTCACTTAGACTTTCCTAAGAGAGCTTGGTGGACTAGTGGGGGGAAAGACAGATGGAAAAAGTAAACCTGGAAAAAAGCCCAGCTGGTTTATTGAGATCTGGCATTGTTGCTCCTATAGATCTACTTTCTAAATGTAACCTGGTCTACAACCAAAGTGAACTGCTGCCCAATAGTTCTGAAAAAAATTACAGCTAGAGACAAGAATAACTACACATACATAGTAACTACATGAATGTATAACCATTGTCACACTCCATGAACCCTCTGCACCAAGGCATTTCACTAGGTAAAGGGCCTGCCTAGCCGTAATATGAAAATCAGTAAGCACCAAACCTAATAAGCCCAGCATTTTAAAGAAAAGTTTTAGGCACTGATGTACACATCGGTAGAGAGAGAGGGTTTGGGAATTTGAAATAATTTTCTTCACTGGTATGAGAGAGAAAACATAGACCAAGAATCATCCACTTAGTCCTGTGGGAAAGCATGTTTTGCAAGAAGGATGCTTCTAGCACCTTTTTACAGAATAGTATATGCAGGTCTCTAAAAGAAACAGTCATATAGTGAGACAGTTACAGAGTGATAAAGTGGACCTCCCTGTATCTTTATAGACATGCGTTTTCAGTCTTATTAAACTGAGTCCTGAAGAAAAGGAATGTGCTTTTTATTACCTTTTTTTCTTCTTTTCACTACAGAAAACTGAGACAGCCAGTAGTTAGGCTCACCTAGTAGAGAAGCAAGTAGCCTTCAAGGAGAAAAAATAGAAAGTCCTGTTCCAGACTAATAACGTCTGTTCCCCAGGGGAATGCAGAAGAGTGGGAAGAGCTCAGTTCCCAACTTCTCTGGAACTGATTTGATTGCTATTCCTTTTTTTCCTCACTTCCACCACCCACTCTGCTATCTCCCATGCTCCAGCATGCTCCTTTCTTTATCCCACCCCAAAGGCCATCTCTCCTATGTTTCCATCACCTCCTGTTGAGATGAGCCTTGTAATGCCTAATCCCTCTTCTTCCACACATGTACTGTATGGTCACAGACAAGCCCCTGTCCTTCGGTTTGCAGAGGCTGGGAGCTAAAAGGCACAGCCGTGCTCAGCTATGCATCTGTCAGACCACATAGGAATGAGCAGCAGCACTACCAGGGACCCCCTGAGAGCAGGGACAGGCTAGCAATATTTTTGCAGAAGAAGGAATTTAACAGAAATCATTTGTGCTGGCAAACAGTTTGGGTGTTGTGCAAATTACCTGCCTCTGCTAACTTGTTAGTAGTGAAAATTGTAGTTCAGAATGCTGTTAGATGCAGCCATTGAAGTGTCTAGAGAAACAGCAGAGTTCCTTTTTTACCCAGTGTATATGCACAGAAAGAATAGCCTGGCCCTCTGAGGCATGAAAAAGAACAAATTAGAATAAAGATAAAATGAAATAACACAGATAGTAAACTTGCAGTTGTAGTGGTTTCTCTAATGCAAAGGGCAGATTAGGCCTTTATCAAGGATCTGATCTGCCAGAGAAGGAAAATGGAATTCTGTAGACTGCAAATGCATTCAAAAAGACATAGAGTAAGGATCGTTTAAAGCAAATGAGCCCAGTCTTCACTCACAGAGACGCTATCCCCAGAGTAACTGAAATAGAAGAGTTGCTTATTTATGCTAGCATGCACATGGTGAAAGAATACATGAGCCCACCACATACAAATGATAACTCACAACAGAGGAAATGGAAAATAACATCAAATCAAAAGATTTTTTTTGCATCAACACTGGCAAGAGAGCACTGTATGTACAATGTAAATACAGTGTCAGCCTCCTAGAGACCTGTGGATACTTTTCTCGAAATAAGTCAATGTCAGTGTGAAAAAGATCATCTGCAGTTTGGTTCTGTGCTTTGTTCTGGAGACAGGGGCAAGCCAGCAACACTCTAATATAATGATTTGCTCAGAGTTTAGCATGTGTATGTAATAAAGTGAAAAGGAAAAAGGTCAAGAAAAAGCAGAGACTGTGACATCTTGACTTTGTAAAGCAGAATCATTCTTCAGCTAAGAACTAAATTAGAGAAATGACAAATTTACCTTACCAAAAAGCTCTTGGACGCGTAAGAGTACACATACAGAGAGAAACAAGAGAGTGGTACTCCCTGTTGGGCTGATAAGAATTGTCATTATGCCCCTCTTCAGTTCTGCTGTTCAGTAATGCCCATCATGTGGAGGCCAATAATGACGAATTTCAGCAAAATGAACTCTGAATGTTTTTTTCTACTGAAATAACCCAGTTTTCTAGAACACTGGTTGGGAGAGTTCATAAGTATTCATGCGAATTGTAGTGATCAGATCGAATCTGAAAATGTGCTCAATAGGGCAAAAACATCCAAATGCCAAGTTGTAAAGTTGATCACTTGAATGCAAACAAATCCAGATTCACCAGGTTCAAGCATTTGAAATCACAAGTCATTCTGTTCTAAAAATCAGGGCATTCAACATTAATCAATGAAGATTACTTCTATCACTCAGTTGTGTTGGATATTTTAGGATTCAAATGTTCAAATACGTCTGCCAATCAAGATTTAGAATATGAGATACTATATGTGTTTATATTTTAGAGACAGAAGGAATTTTAATAATGGCAAAGAAGCTTGGATTTGAAAAAAATACCCAGTATCTTGAGAGTTCACACTGGAGCAGTACTTTAATATCCCTAGATAGCCACAGATAATTAAATGTCTTTGATCACTATATTTGGGCCCTACTAATTCCAAAAAAGTCTTTGAATAAGTGGTCATACAAATGACACTGATTCACCAAGTAAGAAAAACATGAAAGTAAATTGAGGATCCACTGGGAAAAAGAAAATTACATATAAGACTATTTTAGGCAGAAATCTGTATTTTACAGATGAAGGCATGGCAGAAAATTAAGGCATGGCAGAAGATACCTTCCTGTGGAATCCAGATAAAACATTGCATTTGCAGGTGCTTTTACATTTACTTGCTTCAAGAAGTATGGCTTGTCTTCCTCTGTAGAAAAAGCACATACCAGTTTGGACACTGGCATAGCCTAAACTGTATATATGCACGTGCACACATTCTCACATGTTCAGCGATTCATTAGAAGAACATCAATGAAGTTACTAAGTCAGGCACTCAAACACTAGAAAACACTTAATTATGTTTCCCTTTGCAGCACCAATTTAGCCTCCCATGTGCTTGCAGCACAATACAGTGTTAATTAAATGTTTACATTCTGAGTTTTATTTTTTTCTCCTACAGAAATGTAGTCTCATTCAGTGCATTAGCTAGAATTAGTGCTGGTCAAAGTGAGTCTTGGATGCGATCTCTGGCTCTCGAGGGCTGCTGTGTCCTGTGTGTGTTCTGTCCCAGTGTTTCCTATCTTCAGGTGTCCCATAACTTCTCTCCCAGACCTACACAGGTCCCCTCCCACATCCCACTGGCCTCTTTGTGCTGTTTTCCAGTCTCGTCCTCTCCTGTCTTTGGGGGGCTCCCATAACATCTGCTGCCTGCAAGACTCCAAGCATATGAAATGCTGCACATGTATGCTTCTCTGTGGGTGCAGTCCTCTTCTGATGCTGGAAAACACCTCTACTGCTGTCTCCAGTCCCTGATCTTTGCGTGCTGAGTCTTCATCCTTCTCCCCTGCTCCAAGATCCAAACTTTTCCTATCAGTTTCCTAACCTAGTTTGCCTCCTCCACTTCCCACACATGGATCCTCACAGTCCAGCACTTCTTTGCACTCCAATCCTATTTAACATGGCTGGGCCCTAACAGGAGAGGAATTCACATGAGAGCAGCATTGAAAAATTAATAATTATGACATGTGATCAACTAGGTGCCCTGGGCACAATACAGTACTTGGCCAGCTTGGCCTATCAAGGCCACATGAACAGAGGAAAATATGTTACAAATAGTAAGTCAGTATCACTTGCCAAATTTCAAGTCCGTCCTCCAAAATATAGATATTTTGAGACTTCACTATAGAACAGTTGAAATGGTCTTTAAGTAGGAAAACATATCCATTTTCCTCTAATCCTGTTTCCAGGCATGGAGCAGCTACTTTGGCCACTGGTGTTAAAATAAATCATTAAAGTAAAACCAAAACGTAACAAAATATTTGTAATATTTTAGATCCAAAATAATAAAATAAAAATATAGTAATAGTAAATAAATTATAGTCTGAGCACACAGCAAGAAGATTTCAGCTCAGAGAAAGCTTGGCAAAGTCGTAAGAAACTGAGAAGATTTTTGTAGCAATCTTACACTGAGTGACGTTAAGTCACCTTAAGAAAACTTAACTACCAAACATTTTAACCTTAATAATATTTATCCAGGCTTGAAAAAGAACTAAGAGTTGAAATTTAAAAGTGAGTTGACTTGTGCAATCTAATATAATTGTATCCTTGACAGCTGAGTTGTAACCTAAAACAAATATCAATCAAGACAGCAAATTAATAAAATGAACAAAGGTGATTATTCAAAAACACACATTCATAAAATACTATACCAGGAAAATTCAGTGGTAATTCCACTTTGGCTGAAAACTGGCTGACTTCATTATTCTCACAGATACTTGCTATGAGCTTATTAATTTTGAAGCCTATAACTTTAATGACTTCTCCTGTTGACAGGCAGCATTCACTTCCAAACCTTTCATAGATGGAGCCTGAAAAGAAACACAAAATGAAAGAAAAGCGTTATTCAGCTTTTTCTCACTTTTTCCAGTGACTTTACCTCTTTGAATGAAAGCAAAAATACTTAAAATAAGTTATATGAAACAATACTTATCCTGCAATAACTAACCCAATGTTTTATTTTCTTCTTTACTGTCTTGAAAAAAATCTGTCTTGTGACTTTAGTGATCTCTAGATCAGATCTATGTGTACACTGATCTCAGCTGTGTATAAGGAGAACAAGGTCTGAAGAACCTGCATTTCCAAGATACTAGATCAAAATGGAATGAAGTAGAGCACAGGATTACTTGGGTCATAAGGAGCTGCCTCCTGAAATCATCAGGCAGGGGAGCTTGGGCAGGAAAGTTGCCTTTGCATGGCATAGGGCATAGAATATCCGATAGGAAATAACACATTACAGCAGAAGACAAAAAAACATCGACCCTACAAGGTCCCCAGGCAGAGCCCAGGAGACAGCAAAGTATAACTAGCATTTGAACTTTTTGTAGGAACAAAAAACCTAAAGAAAGTGCAAGAAAGTGGAAGACTGGCCATGCTAAAAATTGCCTACTGATTCTGACCTGGCAGCAAAAGAATTCCTTTTTTGCCTGCGATGCTCAGAAGTTTGAGCTCAGGAACAAGGCAATTCAACCAACCATTTCAGAGCTTCCTCACAAAACCTGGAACTGCAGTTTACTTTGCCAAAAGCAACCCTCCCTTCTCTGCCCTGAAAAAAACAACCCTCCCTTCTCCGTTGTAGCTGTGGTCAATCTCTGTTGTTTCAGAAGTGGGGAAAGAATAAAGCAAAACCAAAACGAAAGCCACGTTATGCAGAAGGAAAATTCTTCCTGGTCACTGCAGGAGATTAGAAGAAGCTTTGAGGCATGGGCCTAATTAATTATGTAGAAAGGCAGTGCAGCAAACACATGGTGTTCCATTTGTAGATAGAACTGCACTGAACACAGAACATCAGAAATGTTGACTTTAATGCTAGCTTCTATTCTTCTGATGCTGTGCAGTTCCTTCCAAGAACTTACCAAACTCTGTACTTAAGTGACATGGAAGTACCCTTTCTGGAATCCCATCTCCGAATTTCATTTCCCTGTGGTAAGAAACCTTATACTCATTTCCACTCCCAATGCGTTGGCAAGCATATTCATTTGCTCTGGTACTAACATTGTTTTGCTACTTAAAATACACTTTTTCTCATTCCCATTTCTCCTTTCTCCAAAGGGTTTTCAAGGTTAATTTTTACCTTCTTTGGTCACATTTTTGACAAAAAATCTAGAAGAAACAAATTCTCTTTATCTCCTCCGAGAAGATTTTCCTCCCACAATCCCCCAAGAGCCCTTTCTTGCATCTTGTTCAGTTTAAAGTTTCTGAGTTTGTTTTTTTCCACCCCCTTTTAACCTAGGTAACCAGAATGGTCTCAAGCAATGAGAGGTATTTAAAACCTGACCTCTGGCTGTATAGTAGCAATCAATAATTGAGATGGCCTGTACAGAAATATTGTCACTGCCTGCAGAACTCACTTCCCACAGAAAGTGACGTTCTTTACTCCACAGGTCTCCTTGTAGTTGCTGGGGAGGAAAAAGAAAGCTTTCCTTTCTTTTTCCTCAGGTGTCATATCAGAAATGCAACTATTAGCCGAGTGATTTTCCTAATGATCATTCAAGATCAGTTCTAGTCACAACCACAGCCTGGGCTAATCAGCACCTCTGGGATATATTTATCAGCTCTGCTGTAGCACTTGCAGGTGACAAGCTTTTGGCTACCACCTTGACCTCATGGGAGGTCACTCCAAGCACAACCTGAGCACAAGTTGCTCTGGTTTTGGCCTTAAACCCAAAGCCTCAGCAGAGTGCCACAGAACAACAGATTTGTATTAGAACACAAGGATGAACAAGAGCAACACTGAGCAACTGGTTAAGTGTGCTCTGTTGTGAAGGCATGTCCAGGCAAACCTGCCTGTTGCTTGTGCAATGCTTTCACAATTGAGATGGACACTCGGAAATCCCCAGCTACTACCCTGAAGAAGACAGGTACCAATGTAGATATTTAACCCTGTGTAGAAGGAATATCAGCTTAAAAAAAAAAAAAAAAAATTAAAAAAATGTGTGGCAGTTGCTTTCGGGAGGCTGGATGTGACAACACTGCCCGGCTTCTGTTGCTGAGAACCCTACATAGGATCAAGAAGACTGCTGAGTTTAGGCTCTAAACTCCCCCAGCAGGCTACTGACTTTCTACTGCACACCAAGATGATGATTAGCACAAAGGGATTCTGGATTATAGTGCAACACAAATATCAACTACAGCCAGGTAGTGATAAGAAGAAATATGTTGTTAATGCATACTTTCAGCCGATCTGATACCAAGCAGAAGACCAAGAGAGCTGCTGCCCTTTAACTAAAAAAGAACAATCAGGTTTTCTTATTGTAAAGGTAGTGCATAGTTGTTTGCTCTCCCTTGAGTCTCTGAGCCATTCAGCATTGAGTAAGTCAGATGTCTCCACTGGACATCGCTACAGCTCCCCTCAGTAGGCTGGCTGCTGCTCTAATAAACACCTAAGGAATTATCATAGCTCTCATTCCTTTAGCTGAGCTCCACAAGATGTTTTATGACAGTCAGAAAAGTGTATGTGCAATATTTATTTCATATTAGGGGGCCAGAGAGAGAAAGATTGAGCAGCCATGAAGAGAGTAATATTCTTTTTGTGCTGAACCACCTCACTCCTCACATCAGACACAGTAGTGATCACAAGCAGCCATGATATTATTAGATACAGGGAATCCTAGAGGACACAGTGATGAGCTCTGCATTACAGAAACATGGAAAGAGGAGCAAAGAATTCCAATATTCTCACCTCTGAATACATATTTGTGAAAACCTACTCAAAATGGGAGCTCATGACTTCTAGAGTTGTTTTTTTTTCTTCAGTGCATATTTAGATCCAGCTTCTCCAGATTAACTCACTTGAAAATAGACCCTTAGAAATCATTTAACATATGAAAGTAACTGCACTGACTAATTATGGGCTCCAGGCACATTTGCCTTCACCTTTGCTAGACAGCCTTGCAGGCATTCCCCAGGATGCAGCAGGGCCCCACTGCTCACCCACATGCAGACAATGCTGCCCCATAGGAGCACAGGCACTGTGCCACCCACGTTCCACGTCATTCCTGGACATTGCTGATTTCCAAATAACACAGTAGCTGTAGTAGAGCAACCCCAGCAACAGCCCTGAGAGGAAGAATGGAGCAGTTATGAGGCTGAATCTCTCAAAAAATGGTCGTAGGATTGAAGAATATTTAAGCACTACTTCAGTCTGTATCTGCAGGAGAGTAGTGGCACCAAGAAATAAAGAGGAGAGTCAGAGGAGGACCCTGTTTCTGGTCATGGCTGGTTCTGAAAGACTTACTACTTTTATCATATTTACTTTTCCTCAGGCACAATAGCTTAGCTACCAATTGTATGACAGAGGTTTGAGGAGTCCTGCCCTCCATTGCAAAATAAAAAGTATAAACAGAGCTTGCTGAAAAAGTGAAACTCATCAGTTAGTGATGATCCCAGTCTGAAGATCTAATCTGGCAATATGAATGAGAAGAGACTAGATCTGCCAAACACTCAAAAATAGATGATTGGATGATGCAAAAATTAGCCTTTGACAAAGCAACCAAAATTCGCAAACCATGAGAAATGCAGATAACAACATACACAGCGTAAACAGTGGCCTAGCGCTGTAGAGATGGCAGAGAATCTAAAATACTACAAGAAAAGGCTAAAATACACAAGAAAATAGAATTTCCACTCATAAAAGAAAAAAAGTACCTGAGGCAGACAAGCATATGGAGTGCAAGCTGGAGCCTACAAAAAGCATTACATGGAGCTGCAGGCTCTGTTTGCAACATCAAGGGCCAAGATAATACATTCAGAAAAAAGGTGGATTATAAATGCCACACTGCAAGCCACGGAAGAGTGTGAGCAGAATAGACACAGGGCTGTCGCAGCACCTTAACTCTCAGGGTCTTTCATCAGAACAAAACGTAACATTGATGTGGAAAACAAATGGATCATTCATCTAAAAGTATCAGTTCAAGGAAAAAGTGAGATGAAAATTAAAACTTCAACCTAAACACTTTATGGCTTTAACTAAAATTAAAAAAAAAAAAAGAAAATCAAGAGAGCTGGTTGTTTTACCATCAAAGAAATAAACTATTACATGGATACATAATCCAGTGGCAAAGACAATACTCTGTAGTAATACCAAGGAAAGTGAACACCTTCTTGAATTAAAAAAGAAGAAAGAAAAGACTTTTTTTTGCATCATTGAGAAGGGAAAGGGTATTAAGCATTTAGGAAGACCATTTTAGGTCTTCCAGAAGAGAGGAAAGCTTTTAGCAGAGTAGGGGGGTAGAGTGCCCAAGAATCCCAGGACGCATGGTCATAGGACTGTACCTTTCATCCCAGAAGAAAAGTTAGATAAATTGCTTATGTAACAATGCCACCACATCTTCCATCCAATTAAGGAAGTCAGAGACCAACCTTCAACAGCTTATCAGTAGTAAAACATATATATGAGTGGATAGACAGATAAATGTATATATATATGTACATAAATATGTACCTAGATGACCATATTCATGGGCAACTTGTGGGTCTCTAATTACCTTCTCATTTATCAACTTTATTTAAAATAGACCAAGAGGTTGAAAGATCATGAGGGGGAGATGCTGGGAGGAAGATGGTTAACAGATTGAGGCTGACTGCAGAAGCCTCATTTTTAATGGTACCAGGTTAAAAAAATAAATAAAATGAAACTCTACCATCCATACAAGAATAGATTCATTTTTGGGCGTCAAATTGCACATGCAGTATTGATTGTAGTTACATATTTGTCTGCAACTAGATTGTCTTAGCCCTGCTTTTAGCCCTTGCTTGGCAGTTTGCCTGGAATAATACAATGAAGATTACATTCAGACAAGAAAAATGTTAC